GTGTAAAGCAATAGAAAATACAGTTTGTACAGTATAAAAACCATTGTACCTATGGAGAGTCCCCACAAGGATAGCTGACCAGACAGAGTGTGAGTGAGTGTGTGTGTGTGTGTGTGTGTGTGTGTGTGTGTGTAACAGAAAAAAAATAGTAATGCAGGTTTGGAACAGCTTGAATGTGAGTAAATGATAACAGAATTTCCATTTTTGGGTGTATTGTCCCTTTAGCCCGTAGGCTTACAAACCAAGAGCGAAAATTATAACTGTGTAGCCTTGATATAGATCATATGTAGCTCCGCCCCTTTTCAGCGGATGTTCAAAGGCAAAACTCTAAAGATGGCTGCGCGCTTGTTTCTCTGGCTCATAGGTCTATAAGAGGAGAGAAGTTCACACCGCCACTATAATGATAAGGAAACAAGGGAAAGATAAGCTTGGAATCACTTTCAGACGATTTTTGTCGAGATGATGAACGCTAAAAACAGCCGACAGAATCCATCCTGCCTTATAGCGCGGGCATTTAAAGCGGCACACAACATAACTGCGCATGCGCAATATGGGTAAAAAAAATGTTCTTGGTGTGAACGGGCCTTTAGGCTTGCCTTGTCCTAAAAGTAAGAGTGTGAGTGTGTGTGTGTGTGTGTGTGTAACAGAAAAAAAAATAGTAATGCAGGTTTGGAACAGCTTGAATGTGAGTAAATGATAACAGAATTTTCATTTTTGGGTGTATTGTCCCTTTAGCCCGTAGGCTTACAAACCAAGAGCGAAAATTATAACTGTGTAGCCTTGATATAGATAATATGTAGCTCCTCCCCTTTTCAGCGGATGTTCAAAGGCAAAACTCTAAAGATGGCTGCGCGCTTGTTTCTCTGGCTCATAGGTCTATAAGAGGAGAGAAGTTCACACCACCACTATAATGATAAGGAAACAAGGGAAAGATAAGCTTGGAATCACTTTCAGACGATTTTTGTCGAGCTGATGAACGCTAAAAACAGCCGACAGAATCCATCCTGCCTTATAGCGCGGGCATTTAAAGCGGCACACAACATAACTGCGCATGCGCAATATGGGTAAAAAAAATGTTCTTGGTGTGAACGGGCCTTTAGGCTTGCCTTGTCCTAAAAGTAAGCCTAGATGTTTCTCAAGTTTAACACACTTTACAGTGTGACCAATAACTTCATGTGACAGACACTGTCAGCAGCATTCAACCCTTTCAGATAGTTTCACAAAATAATAATAAATATATCTCCAATAATAAATATAATATTTTTCCCCCCAAAGATAAAATGAACAAGGTTAAAATTGTACAGAGCAAGTAAAACTGTATTAACTCAGCATTAAATGTAACAATTTTTTTTTTTACTTAAAAAAAAGTCTGGAGGGTTGATATCGTTCGATGGGTGCATTTTCGTTTGTTCTCCTTCGTTAGTTCGTCTTATATTATCCATTAGATGTTTTACTACTTATTTCCTTTGTCTTAAGTCACGAGAACGCATCTTAGATCGCATTAGTTACTTGCTTTAATTTAGTAAATTTTTATTTAAAAAAATTAATATATTTATATATATTTCTGCATATGCTTGAGTTACAGTTTACAAGGTTTTACTGCAGCGTTTTTATATATTTTTTCAGTCAAAATGTCTAATTTGTGTAGCCTATATATATGTTTATTGCAAGATACTAACATTTAGTATATATATATATATATATTTTTTTTTTTAGTGTGTAGAGGTTTTTACCTTCTCGGGGCGGGGCTTTGAAGGATATGGCGCTGTGCAGGTTCGGGCTCTGTATCATGGTTCCGGTGTTCGGATGGGCGAGACCCGCGCCCTGAGACTGCCAGTGCCCGTAGTTACCCGCGTGTCCACCGTAAACACCGTACTGATTAGTGGCGGAGTACGCGCACGCAGGAACATATCCCGATAAATTTGATGAACCCTAAAAATGTAAACAACAACAAAAAAAAATCTTGATTTTCATATTTGCACCAAAAAGAACAATTCATAAAAACAGAAAATTAAATGCAATCAAACTACACTCTAAAAAATGCTGGGTTAAATACAACCCAGTGCTGGGTAAAATAGGGACAAACCCAGCAATTGGGTTGTTTTGACCCAGCGGTTGGGTTACTACCCAGAAGGTTGTGTTAAACATTTAACCCAAACGCTGGGTCAAAACAACCCAATTGCTGGGTTTGTCCATATTTTACCCAGCACTGGGTTGTATTTAACCCAGCATTTTTTAGAGTGTAGTGATCATTTTTAGCAAATCTAAATGTAACGCAATATTACTCGATGACACTCAAAAGATCAAATTGGACTAAAAGAATATAGAAATAATGAAAATTAAAAACATTTGCACAGATATCTCGCACTCAGTAATAAAGATGCTTTATTGGCATCTATGATTGCATGAAGATTTTTTAAACATCCATCGAAACTTTTTAATAAACAAAACGTTCTTTTATAAAAAAGGGTAAAGGGTAAAGGGGAAAAGGGTTCTTCAGTTTATTAAAATGTTCTTTAGACTAAGCAAAACGGTTCTGAAAGATTCTTTGGGGAACCAAAAAAATGGTTCTTCTGAGATTCTGCTCGGCAGAATCTCACAGTGATGCCATAACAAAACCTTTTCTTTTTTCTCTCTGCAATCATGCTTTAAACACTGATCTGAAGAACCTACAAAATAACATCAATAACGTTTTAATCTCCAAACAGCAGAACACATCGAGAGTGCAGAAGCAATGCACACAAAATTATCCAGATAGACCTACATAAAAGATTCCCCAAACTCAATGCAAACTATTTCGCCAATATTGGAACTTTTGGGTGACAATATGCAAGACATCAAAATTATAATAGCTGATAAATGAATAACATAACGCATAAAACCAGCATCAAGTGGCTACGCTAGGATCTTGAAGGCTTATCGATTATACAGAAGGTGTGATTGTACCTGCGGGGTCCATGAAAGCCCGTATTCCTAAAATGTTGCTGACGGTGTGAACGGAGGGCCAGGCCCGGGACAGGCTGACAGACATGGCCGGAGGACTGCCCAGTTTGGAGCCAGTCGGGGACATGGCGTTCGGGTAGGAGTACGGATACACGGGGTTATAGGAGATCTGCGGCGGAGAGGGTTTGCTGTCGTACTGACTCGGCTGAGACAGGTTCCCAATCTTGTTTCTTAAAATGCGACTGATGGAGCTGACGGACGGGACGTTATATTTGTCACACACCGCGTCGGCCAGCAGTCTGTCGCGTATTTCCCAAGCGAATATTCCAGGATCGCCCAGTTTGTAATCCCGTATGCTTTTCACCACGTTTGGCGTCGTGACCCGGGGTTTACTCCCACCGATAGCACCGGGTAAAATGGAGCCGGTCTCGTTGTACCTGGCCAGAATTTTGCTCACACAGCCATGAGAGACCCGCAGCTGTCGACTTATATCACACGGCCTGATTCCGAGCTGCGCCAGTTCGACGATCCGGATCCGGATCGCGTTGGGAAGAGGCCGGCCGTTGACAAACACCCCGCCGAGCTGATTGACCTCCCCGTACGTCTGATCTGCAACAACCCAGCACTGTATATTCAGCATATTCCATTTCGAACTAATACAGTATACCATCATTTTTAGTATACATTTTTTTTCTTGCACTATTGCGGCTGTTATGTAAATGAAATCTACACTCAAAATAATAATAGGCCTAATATAATAATAATAATAACATTGCTCCACAATATAACAAAGAATCGTTTAATTAGCCTATCTATATTATTATGAACAAATTTACTGAGTGGTTGCTTTAAAATTAAAGGGGTTTTCTGGCGGTTCTTCTTTTAAAAATACAAATTGGGAAATGTTGAACAAAACTAGTGACAAATGCAGACACTTTTTTTTTTTTAAACATCAAGATTTGTTTTTAAGAGTGAAAGCGCATGGCTCGACTATATGATTTGTTGCTCTATAGGCATCAAAAGACACACGATATTTACACCAAATACATCATTCGAACGGTGTAGATGCATCGTTCTCTCTCAAAAATAAACCAAAACGGGTATTTTCGCAACAATATATTAGAACCATTTTTTTTGTTCCCCAAATAACTTTTTAGTGAACAGTTCTTAAAAGAACTTTTGATGTTCTTTTTTCTGTTAAGAACGTCAAAAGAACCTTTTTCAACTATAAAGAAGCTTAGAACGTAAAAATGCCATGGATGTTAAAGATTCTTTATGGAACCATCGATAAAGAGTGCATTCTTATGATTATTATTCTTCTTCATTTTATTTTGTATTCCTGTCTGAGAGGCGTCATTCTGACTAGCTATAACAGATCAAGAGGAACTTACCCATTTGCATCGTGATATTTCCCTACAGTGGTTGTGCTCTTTTAACCTTTAACTGTGCTGCTGTTAGTCCTGTGCATGCAGCATTGGAGAAGTCTCCCGTTAAGGACTGCCCTCTTCTTCTTTTTAGGACTGAGCAGCTTTTTACACTAATCTCTGATCCACCTGAGAAACTCCGGCCGTCCAGCAGACTGGCTCGTGCGCTCAATCTGACGCGTCACGAGCATCACTCACACTAGACAGCTCGTGACTCCGCCCCGATCCTCCTGATCTGCCCCATCACGGATATGAAGCTTCAGAATATACTTTTCCTGCCATTTTATGGCCTTCATGCAAAATCTTAAATGAAAATGATATTTTAATATATTCAAATTTGGAAATGAAAGAAAGCCTGTAAAGCATGTATTTTTGTAGTCTTTTATCTCTTACTGTCTACACTTTATTAGCCTAATGCAATCATATGCATGCAGGCAACGCTTTGGAACTACATTATCCTGACGATCTCAATGTGAAACTCCAATTAGTAACAGTATAATATAGTATTATTACATAAAATATAATAATATAAAACATAATCAAAAAGAATTACAGAAAATACAATGATTCTAATGAAAATTATATTCTATTTAAATATATATTTTAAATTTTAAATTAAAATATTCTATTTAAAAGTTTACGTTTAAATATAATAAATTCTATTTTTTATATTTCATTAAAAAATAACTATATAAAATATAATTAGGCTATACCCAATTGTTAAACGTTTTGAAGATCCACTAATAGTAGAAAAATGTGAAACGTTTTAGTAGCTTAAGCATTTTAAAAGTGAAAGAAAAAGTAAACAGTGGTTCCAAAATTACAACCTGCAGCTACAAGGTCTTTGCGCTTTTTCCACTGCTTTTAACTTTTAGCTACCGTAATTAAATTTTTAGCTAATTACGAAAGTTACAACTCTGAAAAACCAATAGCTAAACAATCAAATTGAATGGCAGGTTACAGATATTGTTATTAATATAAGGTCAGTGGAAAGAAACGAAGATGATAGAAAATGTTATCTGCACTAAAATGTGAATATGCTACATTAACTATCACAAACGCAGTGGGACTGTAGTCTCAACTTCTTAACGAAAGCAACTCGAAGAGAAAAACTGTGGTAGCACCGCCATCTTATGGTATATTTAGGAATTACAAGCATCAAGTGAAATGCATCTTCTCCAGAACACCAATAAATCTACGTGTTATAAAGTATATATATATACACACACACACACACACACACACACACACACACACTTTATAACACGTAGTTTTGTTGGCTGTATTTGTTTGCCTTTATCACAATATAATAAACTAATTGGCATCCATATGGTAATTTATATTTTATTGATTTAAAAATGTAAAAGTTGAATCGGTACAGGGACAAAACATGGTTCACTTGTACAAGACATGTATAAAGGCTAATATAAACATTAGGTCAGTGGGATTAATTTATTTAGATTTATTTGATTTTGACTGATTAACAACGAAACACACAACGAATTAAGGAATTTTTAAAAAGTTCAGTATCCAGTAGGTAATGTGCTAATAAAAACTTAATGATTTGATGTCATGATTTGAAGTATTGCTCTTTGAAAATTTTTATTTACTTTATTCTTTCCCTATACCTTTTTTTACCTAGAAATTGTTAGTCTTTAACATCAAACCCTTTTATCTTTGAATGTCAGTTATACACTATTTGCTTTCTTTATAATTATTATTATTAGTTTTTTTTACACTGTACTGTTTGTCCACTTTGCAGTGTTTTAATTGCATGCAGATGCTTTAGGAATATGAATGTAAAATAATCGCCGTGCCAATAAAGAACACTAAAAGTGTTGATATTTTGTTGTTGTTTTAATTAACAAACAAAAAAATAGTTTTTAGTTTTAATAAATGCTTGCTCAAACACACGCTCCTCCTTCAATACTGCCATTCATTGACAAACAACACAATTTATCTCTAAATATCAGAGGTACCAAAGTGAAGGTTTTTAAAGGCCTCTAGTGACTTGAACCACCTGCCTCCTAATTAACACAACCTATGTAATTTAACCCATTAGTGGGTTGTACATACCAGACTGCACCGAAAGAGGGAGATAATGAGAAAGAAAAAGCTTGCATTCCATAAAAGTGTCAAAACAGAAAATACCTGCCAAATTAGACTGGTAACTGTAATCTACTAAGAAACCCTAAATGTGGTCAATTTGTGGGAAACCTTAACAAAACTTGCACATATTCTTTTTCATATTCTTATCACTTAAAAGACAATAACTAAAAATTACATTTCAAAACATCAAGAGGACTAGAATTACATAATGGGTTAGGGCAGGGGTAGGCAAGTTCGGTCCTAGAGAGCCGCAGTCCTGCAGAGTTCAGCTCCAACCCTAATCAGACACACCTGAACAAGCTAATCAATGTCTTCAGGATTACTAAGGCTGTAGGCAGGTGAGTTTATCTTTTCAGGGTTGGAGCTGAACTCTGAAGGACTGCGGCTCTCTAGGATCGAACTTGCCTACCCCTGGGTTAGGGAAATTACAGTCTTGTGTACTTGAGCAGACTAGATAACTATCTAGACAAATTTATTAGAGTATTACCAAGAGCACAAATAACAAAACCTTGTCAAAAGATAAAAAACTGAGGTGCATAAGCTGAATGAAATCAGTGATACCTACGATCAAGGGCTACCAAAAATATCAAAAATCTTTTAACATGCGGGATATACAGTATATACTTGGTATAGGTTACACATACAAGCTAAAACGTTTTTACATTTACAGTCTGATGCCATAGAAGAATAGTTTATGTTCTAAAATGTCTAGTTTTTTTTTTATATATAAAGAAGCTGTATAAATATAGAATATGTATAACTCAATATTTTAAAGGGGTCATATGATGCTATTTTAAATATCATTATTTTGTGTATTTGGTGTAACAGAATATGTTGACATGCTTTAATGTTCAAAAAACACATTATTTTTCAAATACTGTACATTATTGTAGGCCCTCTATGCCCCGCCTCTCTCAAACGCTTCGTTTTCTACAAAGTCCCTCCTTCCGACAAGCACAGTCTGCTCTGATTGGCCAGCTGACCCAGTGCATTGTGATTGGCCGAACACCGCAAGCACTCGTCGGAAATGTAACGCCCCTTACCATAATCGCAAGCTTCATCTTTCAAATAAATATAACCCAACGCTGGGTTAAAAAGGGACAAACCCAGCTATTGGGTTGTTTTGACCCAGCAGTTGGGTTGTTTTGAACCCCGAGTTTGTCCCTTTTTAACCCAGCGCTGGGTTATATTTAGCCCAGCATTTTTTAGAGTGTACACTCTAAAAGAAATGCTGGGTTGTTTCAACCCAACTTTGGGTCAAATATAGACTAACCCAGCAGTTGGGTTCAATTTCTTTAATTAAAAATTTAGCCCAAAATTTGGGTTAGTCCATATTTGACCCAAAACTGGATTTTTTAGAGTGTATGAAAAAATATGGTTCTTTTAAGATTTTTTTTTTTTTACGGAAAAATTGGTTCTTCCATTGCATCCCTACAAAAACTTCATTTTGGAAGCTTAGCCTATTTTTAAGTGTATGATGGTCTATTCTAAATATTGGTCATTTATTTCTGATGAATGTATTTACATTAATAATGACATTGAATTGTTTTCAGCAGTGCCATCAGCATCTCCAGAGGATTTAACTCCAGAACTGTCCACGGATGAGTCTGTTGATCGGGACAGAGAGAGTTCAGAGGACTCGGGGAAAAAGCGCAAAAGGAGGATCCTGTTTTCAAAGACTCAAACGTTTGAACTGGAGAGACGCTTCAGGCAACAGAGATACTTATCCGCGCCTGAGAGAGAACATCTAGCTCTGATCTTACATTTGACTCCAACGCAAGTGAAGATCTGGTTCCAGAACCATCGGTACAAAGTGAAACGAGCCCGGGCTGAGAAAGGAATGGACCCGTATCTGCTGTCTCCGCGCCGGGTTTCTATTCCCGTTCTGGTGAGGGACGGAAGAGCGTGCCATGTTCTCAGTCCTCCGGACATCACTGCTACTGTTCCAGCAGCGGCACCATATACTGCCTTTAATATGAAGCAATTCCCTCAAATTCAACACAGTCATAACTTCTGCTCCAGCATCATGACACATCTGACATCTGTCAGTCATCTGGGCCACATGCAGCCGTGGTCCTGGTGAAGAGGTTCACGGAAAGCTTTTACGCAGCGGAACTTTGAAAATAACTTGTCGCTCCATTAAATTTCTATAATGTCGAAACTGTCGAAAACAGTTTTTAATGTTCTCATATTTTTTACCCGTTGATTTATTTTATTTTCGATGAAACTGAAACACTGGGACTTCTGTCATCTCGTTTAAATGTTGTTTATAGATATATTTATGTATTTTTTTTTACAGTGTATTGATCATTTTTTAGCAGTCACTTTTCGTTAAATTTAGAACGATTTCAAGTAGCCTAGGTAACTGACAAATTTATAACGTTTAACGTAAAAAATTAACTGGAAATAGCATCTGTTGTATTCTATTTGATTTGTATACTGATATTAATCTGACTAATCTATAATAAAAAAATTTCTCCTGAACAGCACAAAGCGAATTTATCGATTTTTGTTTTGTGCTGCAAGAATATATATAATTTTGTGATTAAATGTGCTGTTTTTTTAATCTACAAGTTTGTTTGCAAGAAAGAACTGACAAACTTTTTAATTTCAGAAAAAAAAATGCTAGAAAAATGTACCGTGGTTAATTATTCACATCCTTTCAAATGCGTTTGTGTAGCTTATCTTCCCGTCGCCTTATAGTCAGGGTCAAAAATGGACTTTTCATGAACATTAGACTACTTGTCCCCCAGAATCGATTTTCAGGGCGTACTTTTTTCAAACCACGTATACATAATAGGCCTACTAATAAATGGAACTGTTTTGCATGTTTCTGGATGTTATGTGTTTTCAGAGCGCATTTAAGCTGTTTCAAACACTCCCCTAGAGATATGGGACAAAGGCGTCTAAATTCATAGGCCTCCTAAACAAATAATGTGATTGAACAGAAAATACTAGGAATAGATTTTTGTTTTTTTAATATATCAAATACTACAGATAAAAATATTTTTTTTTAAAAATGGATCGGTCAGTTTTGTTAGAATTTTTGCTGAGTAGTGAAATCAGGTAGTATGGTTTAAAAAAAAGAAAAGAAAAGAAAAGTCACTATAGCAATAATATACGAACTGGTAAAGGTGCCTGTTACGTGACGCACGCGCACTGCATCCTCTTCAATGGCCACTTGGTGGCAGCATTACATTTTATAATGACTTAAACGAGAAACACTGTTTTTCAGTCATTTGTGGCTCTGGCCTAGATATATGGAGGACGAAACCTGCAAAAACAATAAATAAATAAATCCACAAATAAATAAATAAATGTGTGTATAAATACACAAATTCTTGTTTAAATACATATAGAAATAATTAAACATGTGATTAAAGTAGGCAAATAAATAAAATAAATTAGTGGACAAATGGAAAATGTTTAAGGAAATGCTAAACTCATATTTATTTTCCTTTGATCACTCATTTATTTCTGACTGTCGTTCCACATTTATTTTTCCTCTGCGCAACATGCTAATGAGAGGGTGTCAACCATGGACTTGGTCGGGGTCATGTCATAGCTGGGGGTGCGGCTTTCCTGCTGACAGGAGATGCATGGTGTAAATCCAGTATAGCCTAGTAAAGTCACTTTTTCCGTTTAACAGAGCAAGATACATCAAAAACTGAGCTGTATTGTCCATACAGTATCTGTGACTTTACAAACGACCCAAAGATGACTGGTATGAAGTGGTGTAATCGAGGAACAGACAGTTTTTTCCCATTAGTTATCAGAACAGAAAATACAGGCGACAAAAGTATGTTCATTAAGCAAATAACAGTTCAGTATTGCAATTAAGAGCTATGTAAGCATTAATATTTTACATTGGCCACTTCAAATCTTTTATGATTTAGCTCTCTTATGATTATAACTACAAAACTAACCCTATGAAAAAGTGTAAGATAATAATCAGTCACCTTGACTGATGAAGTTAATACGCATGCGCAGGCAAACGCTCAAGCGCGTCACACACGATCCGCCTACTCTTGCATAATTGACACCCTCTCATTATCATGTTGCGCAGAGGGAAAAAAAAGTGGAACTACATTCAGAAATAAATGAGTGATCAAAGGAAAATAGTTAGGATGAGTTTAGCATTTCCTTAAACATTTTCCATTTGCCCACCGATTTATATTATTTATTTGCTTACTTTCATCACATATATAAATATTTATTTTTGTATTTAAACAAGAATACGTGTATTTATGCACACATTTATTTATTTATTTGTGTATTTATTTATTGATGGTTTTTGCAGGTTTCGTCCTCCATATAGATATTGTAGTGAGAAAGCACAAAAAACAGAACAAAACAAAAAATACAGGATCTGCTTGTAATTCAGTTTCTCCATGAACAATTTCACCCCAAACCAGACATAATTAGATTTTGTAAACAGCAACTAGGCCTACTTCTAACATAAACTTATTGTAGGCCTAATCATGCAAAACTTTAAAAAAACAAATTACAGATGAATCCACTAAGAAGTCCACATGCATGTTTATATAAGCTGTAGAAGGGATAGTGGACTGGGCTGTCTTGCTGCAGGTAATAGAGGCTTATTCACGATCACAGTAACCCTTCTGGACTAAATTACGAAATGGACAGGTCTATTTTAAACAAAGATAATCAATTTGAATGCATTTTAATGCTTCTTTAACTGTACAGCATAATGCTACTTGAATGAACAAGTAATATAAAGTTGAATTCAAAGATGACTTTTGCAAAGTTTCTATGGTAAAATGTTATTAGACAATTATTTTTTAATTTACACCTTCAAGTACACAGATTTTAAAGTTTGCATACCATGATATGATATCCCATAAAACATTCCTTAGTCTCAAATGAGCTCTTCATGAAAACCATGTTTTTTTAAATCTTGATCATTTTCACCTTGCCCTCACAAACAATTGTCGACTGGATTCCTCATTTCGTTTCTAGTTTAGTTTTTATTTTAAAGAGCTCAGTGTTTTACAATTAGGCCTATATGGGGGTATGGGGAGGATATGGTCTAGATCAGTGGTTCCCAACCCTGGTCCTGGAGGCACCCCATCACTGCACATTTTGCATGTCTCCTTAATCAAACACACCTGATTCAGGTCATCAGCTCATTAGTAGGGAATTCAAGACCTAAAAATGGTGTGTCAGAGAAAGGAGACATGCAAAATGTGCGGTGTTGGGGTGCCTCAAGGACCAGTGTTAGGAACCACTGCTCTAGATGACGCCTGAACGTCGCAAAACAAATTATATTTTTAGCCGAAATATTTTTATTTATTTATTTCCGTTCCAAAATAGATGCAGTTTGTAGCCTATGTATTAAAAAAACTATAAAGCTGCTTTGAAAGTAATTAGAATTCTGAACATTCTAAACGTTCTATTTTCTGTGGCCTGGAGGTGACGACATTCCAGAACAGTAGACCAGCAGTTTTGTGTTCATAGTGATCCAAACGGAGGGGAGAACACGTGCAAATGTACGCTTTGAAACGTTAAATCACTTTTAATCACTTTACCACATTCCAAACATCCGTTCAGGTGTGTAGAAGACTCTCTTCCATCTTAAAATTGGTCTTTTTAGTTGCTGTTTAATCACATGGTACAAGGTTCTTTATAGGCATTTAAGGTTCTATTAAGAACCTTTAACAGCCATTGAACGTTCCTTTCCATTGCACAATTAAAATATTCTTCACACTAAGAAAAAAACTGTTCTCTAAAACCATTTTGGGGAACCAAAAATGGTTCTTCTATTGTATAGCTATACGTAAAACCCCTTTTAGAAACTTTATTTAGATTTTATATTCATCTGCTGAACATCTCCTCATTCAGACCCTGGCATTAAACTCAGATCTGGCATGAGATGTTTTTGGCTGCTGCCTCTTTCTGAGTCATGTGGTTTGAAGTGATGACAGTGGGAGAGATGTGATTTTGCTGATCCAGAACTTCTTTTTGTGTGGTTGTGTTTGCTGAACCTGAACATCTTCAGGTAAAGTCAGACGTCATTTGGTTGTGCGTGGACATACCTGAGTGCTCTAAGCTTTCTCGAGGGCTCTTCTGTAGACACACATCTTCACAAAACATCTGCTTGCTTCAGCAAATATCAAGGAAGAAGCAAATGTCACTTCGTCCTGACATCCTTCATGGTAGTGGAGTGTTGACACAGATGCATTAAAAACTACCATTTACAACAACAACCAACATGAAAATATGACCTATGATGAAATTAACTTCGAGAGTGAAATAAATGTTTGCTATCAATCTATCTATCTATCTATCTGTCTATCTGTCTGTCTGTCTGTCTGTCTATATATCTATCTATCTGTCTGCCTGTCTATCTATCTATCGTCTGTCTATCTATCTATCTATCTATCTATCTATCTATCTATCTATCTATCTATCTATCTATCTATCTATCTATCTATCTATCTGTCTGTCTGTCTGTCTGTCTGTCTGTCTGTCTGTCTGTCTGTCTATCTATCTATCTATCTATCTATCTATCTATCTGTCTGTCTGTCTGTCTGTCTGTCTGTCTGTCTATGTATCTATCTATCTATCTATCTATCTATCTATCTACCTATCGTCTGTCTGCCTGTCTATCTATCGTTTGTCTGTCTGTCTATCTATCTATCTATCTATCTATCTATCT